AAAAAAAAAAAAAAAAAAAAAAAAAAAAAAGAAGGAGGTCCCTGGAAGTCCCCTGTGTCCCTCAGAGGGACAAGCCCCAACAAAGTCTGGGCCTCTTGATAAGACCACCACCTCCCCCAGAGCGTCTCCTGGGGGCAGACCTTTAGGATCTCACAGGGAAGACACCCCCAGATCCAGGTCAACAGACACCCTCAGAGCCTCTGCTGGAAACTACAGAGAACCAGATTCTCTTTTTAGGGCACCCTGCGCAGTTCAGGGACCAGATAAAGGACTGTCTTATCTCTTCTCTCTTAAAACAACTGGGATAATTCAGAAAGAGGAAGGTGGCAGGGAGGGCCAAGGAGAGGGGATCGAATAACAGGCCAGATCTCTAAATGGGTTATTTTGAGGAAAGCTGCTCTCCATCTCCCGAGAATAGATGGGATAGAACCAAAGCAAGAATGTGGCAGGTCAGAGTAAGAAAGACCTTCCCAACCGTGGGGGTGTGAGGCGGCTGACCGGGGAAGGCAGGAGAGGGAGTGGGGGAGACCCTGCGCGGTGGACTAAGCACCCAAGGAGGAGCAAGGGGAAGGGTGCTGTGAGTCTACGACACAAAGACACCAACTGTCTTTGAACATGTTTGGGGCTTATGTAAGGGTAGGAAAATCTCCATAAGTAGTTATAATATGTGAACACACTTAATAAGATAGAAAAAGAAAGAGAGAAACTGGGCCCTTTCCTTACCTGCAGCAAGAGGCCCCTGAGTCTCCCTCTACCCCTCTACCTGCCCGCTTCGAAAGCACCCTTTTGACTCCACAACAAGAATGGTGTCCTGTTTGGAGGAAGGGGTACAGGGCAGGTCACCCTTAGAGTAGTGGTGTCTGTCATTACAGCCATCATCTCAGCACCCCAGGCCCATCTGACATCCACCATCAGGATGGTGGTATACAGTGGCTGGCTGAATGTGGCCCAAAAGGCACTGGCAGGAAAGGCCCTGTGGTCAGAATCCCCAGCTGGGCCACCAAACCATGATGTTGACCATGACCTGTCCCTTCACCTTCTTAGAGGCACCTCTGTGAAATAAGATGGGGTGGGCCAGATGATCTCTGAGCTCACTGCCAACTCTAACACCAAACTATGATCCTGTGAACTTGGCTATTCAGGGCCTGCCCTTTTTCCAGCCAGACAGCTGCCCCTCCTTGCCATAGGGTGAAGGGTGATTCAGGAAGAAGAGGGTCAGCCTTGAATGAGCCACCAGGATTCTGGTCCAGCTCAGCAGGCTGCTGAGTCACAGAGACTCCCTCCTACACTCCCCTGCCCCTCCCTTTCATGCTTCTGCTTTCAGAGGAATCCACCAGTAGACCTGTCTGCTGGGAACACAGTAGGTCCCAGTCCAGGTCTCGGGGAGCCTCAGCCACCAGCCCATCTGCCCCAGAGACCACCACTGACACTTCACCTCACCATGCCTCAGTTTCTCCACCTGGAAAATGGGATTAACACTAATAATAATAATATGCTTCCTCCCACTACCCCGAGTTGTTGTAAAAATTGAATGAGAAAATGCACATAGAGTGATGCCTGACCCCTGATGAACAGGGATAAATGTTGGCTATTTTCAGTTATTTCATTAAATCTTTATAATAGCCCAGCAGGGTGAATACTATTTTGTTATTCCCATTTACAAATGAAGAAATCGAGGCTTAGAAGAAGGAAGTCACTGCCAAGGTTACCTACTAGGGTGCGGTGAAGTCAAGACTTGGTCTCCAAGACTGACTCCTGAGTCCACGCTCTTGATCCCCTGCCCTAATCCATCATGTGGACACTGTTTCTCTGAGCCTCTCATCACTTCTACCCCAGCTTCCTGTCTAAGACCCTCCCATGACAACCTGGAAGGCTTACACAGCAAGTGGACACCAAACCATTCAGCCCCCTCCACAATCCCACGGTTCTCAAACCCTGTCCAACAGCACAAGGAGAAGAGGGTGGTCCAGAAATAGAGATTCATAAAGATCAGAGCAGAAAGGAAACTCACTTGCCCAAGGCAAGCCAACCCCTTCACTTTACAGCCAGCTACTGTGCAAGGAAGTAGAGTGACCTGTCCTTGGTCACCGAGTTGGTCCTGGGTAGAGATCCTAGCCATCTGGGTAGAGAGACCTAGGCACAGGAGAGGAAACCCCTAGCGTTGACGCCAGTCAGGGGAGTTGCTAAACTTAGCCCCACTGAGCAATGCCAAGGAGAACACTGTCAGACTAGCAGGAACCTTAGGGGCCCAGGGCCACCAGGCTTGGCAGCTTCTGAGCCCGACCTACATGAGGGCCCTGGCCACCTCCACATCACCAAAGTTCCAGCTAGGGATGAGGTTAGGGTCTGGCATCTGCCTAGGTAGTAGGGAAAGGAGGAAGTGGTCAGTGTTTACTTTCCTAGCTGTGTCTAAAGGTGGAGGCTGGAGAAGAACAGGGAGTAGAACAAAGGAAGGAAAAAGGGAGGGAGATCAAGAGACAGACAGAGGGAGGACGGTGGCCAAAGACTGGAAATCAGGTCTTCTGTGTTCTGCTGTTAGCTACTGGAAGGGCTCGTAGTCTCCAGGGGCTAAAAAGGATCTTTAAGTTTTTCCACTGGAAGCCTGAATTTTCCTAAAATACGGTCAGCTGGCCGGTTAGCTCAGTTGGTTAGAGTACAGCCTTATAATGGGTTCAGATCCCTGTACCAACCAGCCACAAGAAAACTAAATAAATAAAATGCAGTAGGCAAACTCCAGCACCAGGGAGCAAGTCGGCTGTGTCGGTAGGCAGCTGGAATCCTCACTTCACAATGCCTGTTAACAAGGCACTCAGACTCTGCTCCATCCTTGTACATTACAGATCTAAGTTTGCTCCTCTCTCTTAGGCCACAACATCCCAGAGCCTCTTCTTTCTCCAGCAGGACCTGGGATGCAGGCATGGCACCAGCAGAGGTGGGTGGGCTCACACAGCAGGACTGGCTGGTTGTCAAGGTTTTCAGATGCAGAATTAGGGAAGCATCTCCTCCCCTGGAGAGGTCTCAGTGTGGTGAACGTGCTCCCGGCTAACTGAGGCCCAGGCTTGGGCTCTCCTTGGGGGCATCTGAAGGGTTAAGGCTCTGGAATCTGCAGAGAGGAGGCCTAAGCTACTGGGGTTACAGCAAGAGGGTGTGTGTGTTGGAGGGAGGGACAGAAAGGAGCAGCTGACTGGTCCAGACAGCCTGTCCTCCTCTCTGCCAGGAACGGATGCCCAGAGCCAGAATGGAAAGAATAGCTCAGAACGCACATCTCAGGAAACCCCACCCAGCAGGCACAGGAGCACAGCCTGGCCCAGGTCTCCATGACACCCTTTCCTCCTTTCCCTTTACCCACCCACTCAAAAAAACACTTTACCCTCGCACCCCAGCACATAGCTATAAGGGCAGAGGACTAAAAAGATACACCCAGGGGTGTTTGGGCAAGTCACTGGGCCTGATTCAAGACCAAGGGGGCTTAGAAACAAGTTAATATCCTTCGGTTGGCCTGGCCTCTGGGTTTAAGAGAATGAAGAAGCCAAGTTTTTTTCTTAAAAACTGAAATATAAGAGCTGGAATGGATTTTGGAAATCATCTGGTCATTTGACAGACAAGGAAACCCCAGAGCCAAGAAAGTTCCTGCTCCATACCAAGACAGGCCCTCTTGGTCATGGGTTTAGAACTTCCTCAAACACTGTTTAAGAACTCAGAGAGACAGACGCAAGCACACACACCCAAGGAGAAGCCAGAACAAGCTCCCCGTTCCCCCAGTTCTCTCATGATCTCCCGGCTCAGAAATAGATAAAACTGCCAACCCATTACTTCCCTCCCCCAGCTGAAAGCCACCCCTCCCACCTGCTGTCTCTAGCCAGGGAGGCCTCCCCACATCCACAGAGACAGAGGGGCAGCTCCAGTCTCCTCTCCTCTGTTGGAGACTAGACCCAGACACTCCAGCTCGCTCCCTTATCATCCTCGTCTCTGGGGGCAGAATTGTGTCATCAGGGCAGTAATCTCAGAGACACCGCCAAGTCAGTGGTCAGGATGGCCTGGGAGTGCAGATAAGGAAAGAAGAAGCCATTACCAGGGCTGACGCCACTTCAGAAACACAGCCCTATCCACCTCCTTCTTTGTCTTTCATTTTTTCTTGTCTTTTCAGTTGAACCTCAAGATTCAACTTGGAGGGAGGGAGGCAAAGGAACATGAAAGATAATTAACAACCACAGTGGAGAACTTGTGGTAGGCAGGGAAGGAAGAGAACCCCTTAGAGTAGTAAGTACTACAGCACAGTTACTTACAATTAAGTGAGTAGAAACTAAGGCTCATCCGATCTTCACAAGAGAACTATGAGGTGGGTATTCTTACCCCCACTCTACAGATGAGAAAACTGAAATTCAGAGAAAAACGGATCTAAGGTCCCAAGTCAGGCAAACAGCAGAGATGGGTTTGAACACAGATCTAAGGTCTGGGTTTTTTTTCCGGCAGCTGGCTAGTATGGGGATCTGAACCCTTAATCTTTGTGGCACAAGGCCTTGCTCTAACCAGCTGGGTAACCAGCCGGCCCTGATGTCTGATTTTCAAGTTGATACCCTTTGCTTTTACATGTGACTGCAGCAGAAGTCCCTGAGGCACCCCCACCAGGCACCTGCATGAATAGGCCAGCACCTGTGGCAGGGGCAAGGTAGTAAGGATCAAAACAGCAGGAAGAAGCTGAGCAAGCGTGCTGTTGATACCAATTCCTTTTCCCAGTGGAAAGTCGATCTGGGTTAGGAGGCAGGGACCTGAGTTCCTGTCCTAGCTTTGGTACTAACTCCATTGTGTGAGTCAGGGTAGGCCACTTCACATCTCTAGACTAAGTCTGTCCATCTGTAAGATGAGTAACCGAAAAATCAAAGTTCATTCAGGTTTTGACAGCCTCTGATTCTGAATGATGGCCTAACAGAACAGAAGGGCAGAATGACATGCCCCCCAAAGAATCTGTCCTGGGGGTCTACAGGATGCCTACAAAGACAGAGGTGCATGGCATGTCCTGGGTATGCAGGCAGCCAAAACTCCCTCTCCTTCCAGACTGCCCCTAGAATGCCCTCTGAGCCTACAGCCAGGTCTTCCTGGGTGTTCACGTACCCCAGAGCCTGCAGATAAACAGCATAACACTGTAGAAAAGAAAGAGTACGAGGCACGAAGTCAAGAGACCTGGGTTCATTAACTAGTTGTGGGAATCCAGGCAAATGACCTCCCTTGGCCTCTTTTTACCCCTAAATCAGCCCACATGAAGGAGGGAAGAAAGGAAGGAGGGACTAGTTTACTGGAACCAGAGAGTGGAGAGCTAGAATCACCTAGCTGGGCATTTCCCAAATTGTTCTAAAGAACACGCCCCAGGAGACATTAATGGATGAGCACGGGGAACAGATGAGTCTGGGAAACTATCCATATCCCTTTCTTGGAAATTAAGAAGGCTCAATGGCATATCAAGCCTCTAAGATGTCCTGCAGCAGGCAAACCTGTACAACTTTGTTTAACCCAGTGTTCTTTAAACTTCCTTAAGCCTGAAACGCTGTTATTTATCAAGGCACACCTATTAACATCCTGTGGGATGCTGATCCAGGCCACCTTTGTTTTACAGATAGACTCAACCCTGAGAATGATTCATGTCCTAACTCCTTATATCTTAAAACCCCTGTCCTGGGCCGGCCTGTGGCTCACTCGGGAGAGTGCGGTGCTGATAACACCAAGGCCACGGGTTCGGATCCCATATAGGGATGGCCGATTGGCTCACTGGCTGAGCATGGTGCTGACATGGGTCATCTTTAAAAAAAAAAAAAAAAAAAAAATACCCTGTCCTTACACCCAGGCTGCCCCTCAGAGCAATCACATTAAGTACCAGGTATGCCCCCTTCACTCTCAGGGAGTCAGCTCAGCTCCAGGATCCTCTGTAAGGGTCCTCCCCCACCCCCCATTTCCAGACAGCTGTTATTAGAACCTCCAGGGTGGGATTTACTGCCAAGGGCTGGGGGACATCTCCAGCTAGCATAAAACCAGGAAACTGGCATCCGCTAACATCACCTCTATGTCACGGGAAAAAGTACAAATCATTATACACAAGAGCAAGGACTCATTGATGTCTTCCTCCCCATCCAGTGTACTGAGTGCCCTCTAGGTACCCGTCACTGTGGACTTCTAGATATCATTTCTACTTCAAAAAAGGCCCCAGGTTTTGGCCTAGAATCTTAGGGTTGGAAGATTCTGTCAAGGTCATCCCTTCCACAGTGTTCCTAACAGAAAATGTCCAGAAGGCCCACGTCACAGCTCGCCACAACTGTTAGCAGAACCTCTTCCCAGAGAGTTGCATGAGCTTCCACTCTCTGGTCCTCCCACTTTGGCCCTCTGAAAACACACAAGTATGTGTGTCCCTTCTCTGTGGCGTCTGGACTGGGGCTTCTGTCCTTTCTAAAGGGCCCAGGGTGAGAAGTTTGGGGGTTGGAGGTGCTCTGAGGTGGACGGCTTCTGGCTGAGGCCCCCATTCCCAGGGGAGGAGGCTGAACAGAGGTGGCTATTACCCAGCTCATGACATGAGGTTGTCCCAGCATTTATGTTATAACCTGTCATTACCTCTCTGACATGCCCATCTTTACAAGTGAGGCCCTGAGGTCATGGCACAAGACAGAGGAAGTCAGGGCCCTTGACACTGTAGGCTCCTGCCACTTCTTTCTAAGCTATAAACTGGGAAACTAGGTCCTTGTGACTGGAGGGACAGGGAGAGCAGGCAGGTGAAGAAGATGCATGCCTCCCCTTTTACCCCAGACAAAGCAGCCCCAGGAAGCTCCCCCTGCCACCACTGGCCAGGCCAAAGGCGCCAGCTTTGAAACCAAAGCTCACCAGTGAGATGAATATTTCAAAGCCCCAGAGAACTGGACACCTGAAGGACCTTCCATGACATCTGGCTCTGACCCTGGTTCCCAGGCCTACCACCACTTATCCCATATCCAGGGGGCTCAGGTAGGACCCCCCTGGATATCACACAGAGGCCACAGTGGAGTGAGAGGGGATAGAGACTGTGTGGGACAAGAACTGGTGCAGAACCCACAAGGTCAGGGCCGCGCCTTCTTGTACTTCCCTCTCACTGTGCCCTGTCTCCTTCCCTAGTCTTCACTTGCTTTCCCTTTTCCCATTTCCCTGTTTTGCTTTTACTCTGACCCAAAGAGGTCACCAGGAGGAGGATGGTAATTCCCCGTAGCTTTCTGAACCAGCTGCAATGGCTGGAAGCAGGGCTGGCTGAGGGCAAAGGCATGGTGGGTGGCCACTCTCAGGCCAAGGCCTTGGGCCCTTCAGAGGTTTCCACCCCAATTCCAAGCTAGGACCCTCCCTTCCCCCACCACCTAAATACTCATTCACTTGTCTACACTAAGACTGGCGCCAGGTCACGCAGGGGCGCCCTGGGGAGGGTGCCAGGCCCTGGGCTGTATCCCCTCCCTCTGCCCACCAGCTGAGGGCCATGACAGCTTTCATCTCACACACAGCTGCCCACTCTGAGGCTGGCATTAGGGACACGTTCTGCACCAGACAGGCCACTCGCGCCAGTAAGAGGGACACATGAGCACCCCCCGTGCCCTGGCCCGCTCGCCGGTGCCCACGACACGCTGCGCAGCTCCCAAAGCTAATCAGGTGCCACAGGCCCGCCCGCCTGGGACACACAGAGAAAGCGAAACTCCAACAGTCGGGGCGAGCGATCCCCAGGCTGGCGCCAGCTCCTGGGGCCGGAACAGGCCGGCCCGAAGCTGACTCCCGGAGCGGGCCCGGCGGCCGCGCACTCCCAGAAAGTTTGGGAGCCCCGGCCCCGCTGGCCCACTCCCCACCGGCCCACAGTCCCCACCTCCGCCAGCTCCGGTCCCCTGGCTTGCCTGTGCCGTTCCCGGCGGAGCGTTCGGGCCTCCCGGTGTGGCAACTCCTGCCGGGACTGGGCTGAGCTGGGCTGGGACTCCGCGCCCCGCCCTGTCGTGCGGGCCCCTTGGGGCGGGGCCTCGGGACGCCACCAGGGGGCGCCGCAGTCCGCCCCGTGTCCCGTCCGCGTCCGCCCTGGGGGCGCAAGCCTCCGATGGCCCTGACCACGATTTACCAATAACGTTGGGAGTTATTTTCGGATTTAAGGGCAATACACAATTATTGATGGAAATTTAGAAAGCACACAAAAATACAGACAGAAAAATTTCCACCCCCATCCCCACCCCCAACTCCCAGTAGGAAGCACTTGCTTTGGATGCTGCTTTGCCTGTATGTCTAGGTATTTCACTTATTTTTCTAGAGCGGGGGCATATTGTATGATGTTTTGTTTACTGCTTTTCTTTTTACTTATTTTATCGTGAACATTTTTCTTATCACTAGTCTTCCAAAGCATAATTTTAATGCTGCAAAGTATTCCACCACATGGAATACTGTGATTTGTTTTTTTTTTTTTTTTTTTTTTTTTTTTTTTTTTTTTTTTTTTTTTTTTTTTTTTTTTTTTTTTTTTTTTTTTTTTTTTTTTTTTTTTTTTTTTTTTTCACACTCAGCCAGTGAGCGCATCGGCCATCCCTATATAAGATCGGAACCCGCCAGGGAAGCGCTACCGCGCTCCCAGCGCCCCACTCTCCCAAGTGCGCCACGGGCTGGCCCAATTTCTTAAATCAATTTCCTACTGGGGGACATTCAAATTGTCTCCCATTTTTACATTGTTATAAATAATCCGTGATGAACATCCTTGACAATTCTATGCTTTTAAGCTAAGTGCACTTTTCAAGTTTAAAACTTCAAACATAGGAACATAAAGATGGAACTTGGAGTTTCTGCTTAGAATTTCCTGCCTTCAGGAAAGCAGGTCACTAGTCCTGCACTGGGACATAGATTACTACTGTTAGCACACAACACTGGGCTGAAGGCTTTGCACCCATGTTGTGAGGTTGTCGCCTAGGAAAGGAACCAAACACTTAATTAAGAATTTTTTTTTTTTTTTTTTAAAGATGACCGGTAAGGGGATCTCAACCCTTGGCTTGGTGTTGTCAGCACCATGCTCAGCCAGTGAGCAAACCGGCCATCCCTATATAGGATCCGAACCCGTGGCCTTGGTGTTATCAGCACCGCACTCTACCGAGTGAGCCACGGGCCGGCCCTTTAATTAAGAATTTTAAGAGTCTTTATTAAATGCCAGCTGGCGACTGCTTCCCCTAGGTATTTTGGTGGGAGAGCAGCAGCTAGCCTTGGTCTAGTGGAGTTTATACAGGCAAAAACCACATCCCTTTGGCACACGGGTTTGTCCCGGTGCACAAAGCAAGCTAGGTAGCTAGGTTACAGAAGCCAAAGTGAGCAGTTAAAGTAATCAAGCATAAATATTTTCATTGTGTATGGTTCTTGTTTCTTTGTAATGGTTCACTGTGTATGGTTCCTGTTTCTATGCAACTGTTTTTGAGAAGGTCAACGGTTTCTCAAGCAGGGGGCGGGTAGTCTGACAATGAGACCTAAGATGGCGTTGGTAATGATCAGGGTTCTCTGGTACACCCATCATCTTAACCCTGACAGCCACACAATGAAGAATGCAGTAGCAGCTCCATTGTACAAATGAGGAAACAGGTTCTGAGAAGTTCTGAAATCTCACTCCAGCTTGCCTGAGTTTGTGTGGTTCCAAAGTCCATGTTCTTTCCATTACGCCAAGGCTGCCAGTAGATGAACAGCTATGTTTAAAGTGCTTATCTTGTGCTAATAGCTCCAAATCAGCACTACCACTAAATGTCTTTCACAGCCCATTAACACTCTCCCTTTTTAAATGGACAGGAATTGACTTGATAAAACAAAGCTAGAAATTTTACGAAGCTAGAAATTAACACAGCTAGGCAACTAAGACTACCTGAGCACCTCCTGATACCAAACCCATCACTAAGCATTTTTACTTACATTATTATCTCCGGTGGCCAGTCTGGCTCTTTCACAGAGCAAGATTCAGGAAGGAGGGACTCATGGATTTATCTGGAAAGTCATTTGCATAATAAGCATAAGTGAAAGCAGTGTGCTTACTAGTAAGCATAGTAAGCAACGTTACCGGTTAGACTCTATATTTCAGACCAATTAAAATAGAGATGGGGCTGGCCAATTAGCTCAATTGGTTAGAGTTCAGTGTTATAGCACCAAGGTCAAGGGTTTTGATCCCCGTACCAGCCAGCCGCCAAAAAAAATAAAATAGAGATGTTTTTAAAAAGTATTCCCCTTGGGCCGGCCCGTGGCTCACTCCGGAGAGTGCGGTGCTGATAACACCAAGGCCACGGGTTCGGATCCCATATAGGGATGGCCGGTTCGCTCACTGGCTGAGCATGGTGCTGACAACACCAAGTCAAGGGTTAAGATCCCCTTACCGGTCATCTTTAAAAAAAAATAAATAAATAAATAAAAAATAAAAAGTATTCCCCCATACACACTATGTATATTTGTATCAATAGATATAATTTAAGGAGGAGTTACTTAGGGGACAGGTGCCCATTAACCATTAGCCCATTAGCTCCCCTAGCCAGCCCAACCCTTCAATGTAATTCCAGTTCCGATGAGCCACAGACCTCATTTTAGGAAGTCCCCTCCCTGGGGCCGGCCACCTGGCGCACTACTACCGTGCGCCGCTTGGGAGTGCGGGGGCACTCCCGCCAGGGTTCGGATCCCACATACAGACCGGCCGCTCACTGGCTGAGCGAGGTGCGGGCGCAACACCGAGGGTTGTGATCCCGGTCTGGTACGGGCGCGACACTGAGGGTTGCGATCCGTTGCCGGTCACGAAAAAAGACCAAAAGGAAAAAAAAGGAAGTCCCCTCCCAAAGTGTGAGCCCACCAGAACTAGTACAGCTCTGCTCAATTTCTGTCTCCCCCTTGCTCAAGGAATAGAGCCCTAGCTGAACTGCACAACCCTGCAGAAGCTGGCCAGCTCTCCTGACATCCCTATATGCTCTCTACACTTGGGGATTTAGTCTGTTTTGGCTGCTGTAACAAAAATACAGTCAGCCCTTTCTATCCAGGTCCTATATAAATGGATTCAATCAACCTGGGTTCAAAAATATTTGGAGGAAAAAAACCAATAAAAAATAACAATACAACAATAAACAATAATACAAATAAAAAACCAATACAGTATAACAACTATTTACATAGCATTTACATTGAGATAGGTACTATAAGTAATCTAGAGATTGGGCCGGCCCGGTGGCGCACTGCTACAGTACGCCGCTTGGGAGCACGGCGGTGCTCCCGCCGAGGGTTCGGATCCCACATACAGACCGGTTTCTGCTCACTGGCTGAGCGAGGGGCGGGCGCAGCACCGAGGGTTGCGATCCCGTTGCCGGTCCCGGTCCGATACGGGCGCGACACTGAGGGTTGCGGTCCGTTGCCGGACACGAAAAAAGACAAAAAGGAAAAAAAAAAAGTAATCTAGAGATGATTTAAAGTATCTGGGAGGATTTGCATAAATTGTCTGCAAATAGTACACCATTTTATATAAGGGACTTGAGAATCTGTGGATTTGGGTATCGGAGGGCATCCTGGACCCATTCACCCTTAGGTACTTGGCAGACAACAGTACATTAGGCTGGGTATTTTATAGACAACAGAATTTTTTTTTTCTTTGCAGCTGGCAGGAACCCTTAACTTTGGTGTTACAAGACTATGCTCTAACCATCTGAGCTAACTGGCCAGCCCACAATAGAAATTTATTGATTACAGTTTACTTCACAGCTGGGAATCCAAGATAAAGACCCCTGGGCTGGCGGGATAGCTCAGTTGGTTAGAGAATGGTGCTGACAACACCAAGGTCAAGGAGTCTATCCCTGTACCAGCGAGCTGCCAAAAACAAAAACAAAAATAAAACAAACTTTAAACCAAGGTCTAGGCGCCAGCAAATGAGGTGTCTGGTGAGGGCTCCCTCTGCTTTATAGATGGCGCCTTCTAGCCATGTCCTCACATGGCAGAGGGAAGGAGCAAACAGGCTCCCTCAAGCCTCTTTTATAATTGAGGGTTCCACCCTCATGACCTAATCACCTCCTAAAGGTGCAACCTCTTAATACCATCATACTGAGTGTTAAGATTTAATGTAGGAATTTGGGGGACCACCAACATTCAGATGATAGCAGGCCCCTTCTCCAGAAAGCACCCTCTACTTTCTAGAACTGCCACGATGGTCTCCAAGGAGATTTGTTTTCCAGCCTGCAATCACCAGCACCTCACATCTTCCCGCGCTGCGGGCGTGGAAGCTGGGGGCACGCACAGACAAGCCCTGCACAGGCCTTGCTATGTGCTTTCTCCTGAGCCCGCTTTCTGCCCATGGCATCAAAAATCACACCTGAAGCATCTGGCCCAGAGCGACCATGCTTAGCTCACAACAGGCATTCAGTAAATGATGTCTCCTCTTTACAAGGGCCTTATCCTTATCTGTAGGGCCCTTAGCAGATTATAAATTAAGTCCCTACTGTCACCAACCAGACAGGAATTTCCCATTCTAGAGGTGACAAAGCTGAAGGACACAGCTCCTGCTCTGAAGAAACTCACAATCTAAGGAAGCTGCAAAAGATCAGATAATTACAATTTTGACAGTTTGACAAATGCTAGGATAAAGAAATATTCACTTGGCTGTTTGGGATTCCAGAGAAAGGAGCTCCTAACTCAGCTTGGGGGGTAGGGTGAGGGTTCAGGAAAGAGGAGTCAAGTGTTTGGAGCATTTAGGAATCAGCCTAGCTAGAGGAGGTGCAGGGGAGAAGGTTCCCAGACATAGGGAACCACCCCTGAAGCAAGGGGCTTAGGACCCCTCGTCCCCACAAGGTAGAATTGTGTAGGGGTGGGTGGGCAGGTGGAGTGGGGTAGGAGGGGTAAGAAATAAGAAGGCAGGGGGCCAAGAATTAAGATTATACCCCGAGGGTAATGGGGAGCCATGAGATCTCTGAAAACAGCTATTTAGATGTTGGGAAGGTCAGGG